GGCAAATTACTTAGCCTCTTGGTGTCGTAACTCCCTTATGAGTGAAATAAAGGGTTTGGACCCGCCAGAGTTCATTGAGTCCCCAAATTCAGTGATGCTAGGAAACCAAAGCCAATGTCCTTTCCTGATGGTCCCTGAGCACTTGGGTATTTTTCTCAATTTTGATCCCCAGTGAAACTGCCCAAAGCCTGGGGCAGTTCATAGGACCTTCCAGAGAAGAACCTCCATCTTTACAGAGTCAAAAATGTCAGCGTTGGCAAGGACCCAGAGTTCATGTGTCCCATGCCTTATCTGATGTCAGAGTATCTGTCATAGATTCCTGGACTGTTTGACTATCAACGCCACGGTCCCCAGCTTCCTAAACAGCTCAGTGCATTTCCCAGAACCCTCTGATTCTCAGAAGTGTTCCCACTTGCCAGCCATTTATTTTGCTAATCATCTATGCCAGGTACAGTGCTAAGCCTGTGAACGCAAAAACAATGGTCTTCATCCCTACCCTGGTAAGTCTCTTTTGTTAACACACACCCTTGTATTACTTGACCTCCTAGATGTCTATATATATTTGAGCGTTACAGTAAAAGCTCTGTCATCTCAGAAATATAGCCAAGCTTCTGAAATTTTCCTCTTACACAGTTTCAATTTAATGATTGGACCTTCAAATACAATAGAAGCACGCTTCAAATGGGGGTTGACAAAATTACAAAGTTAGAATGTCTCTGGGGCCTTGAACTCCACAGAACAGACCAGACTCCACGGGGAAGATATTCTCTGCCAAACTACACAAGAAGAAGGCAAAAACCTTCTTAATCCATGAAAAATGAATGGTGTTTTAATGCTGCAGTCTACTGAGAAATGTGAGAAGACAATGAGTTAATCAGAAAGTGCTCATTAAAGCCACTGTTGTCCCAGCGTCAGATTAATGCACTCGGGTCCCCTCCCCCTGGAATGGGGAACTAAGAGGGTACTGCATTTGCCTGGCGTGGCATTGCAAAGAAAGCGGGGTCTGCGGGGTTTTTAGTCCCCCCTCTCTGTTCCATGCTTACAGCCCAACAGGAGACTAAACAGCCCCTTGGAATTTGAAGTAATGGAATTTGAGCTGCGTGCTTGATTTGCAAGAGACAGAACCACTAGACAATAAGAAAGGATGGCTGACTGCTGGAGAAGCAACAGAGAGACGAGTAAGAGAGAGGAAGGCAGGGGAAATGGAGAGGGAAAGGTGTGAGAAAGGAACAGAATAGTGGCTCCTGGTGGTGTTAGGAGCAGGACCCCCTGGGAATCTAATGAAAACCACAGGCCAGAAAACTATACACGCACACATAATTTTTGCGTGCAATTTCAGAGGGCTCGTGGATCCCATTAGTTCCAACTACAGACTTGCATCCTTAGGGCCTATCCGTCCGAAGATGGTCCGGATGAAGAATTTCTCCTCTAGAGTCTTAGCAGATGGCAAAAACTAGGGGGGGAAAAGGTCACCTTGTTGTCACAAAGACCCACACCCAAGTGGCTAACTACCTTATCAAACAGCCGCCTCTCAACTTAATGACCACTTACTGAGACGTACTAGGCGCTCAATGGTATGTGAACTTCTTTAGATGTTCCAAGAACCATGTTATGAAACACCAGGATTTTTAAGGCTTTTTCCCTGCCAGCAAGGTCGAGCCAGCCCCTGCCAGCCAAAGTCAGCCCCCAGGGAAGCATAAATTGGCACAACCACTTTGCAGAGCCATTTGCCAATGCCTCGTGAAGCTGAGGATACACAGAGTCCACGACTCAGCAATTCCACTCCCAGGTATACGCCCTAGAGAAATCCACTGGCGAGAATGAAGGGACAGCTTGGTTCAAAATAGCCCAAAGCTGGAAACAACCCAAATAGATAAATACATGGTAGGATATTCATACTGGAGAATACTATGCAGCAGTGAAAAGAGACGAATGAGACCTAGCCTTGTCAATCAGATTAATCTCGTGTGGAGTGCAGAGGGAAGGCTGGAGAAGGAAACATTTACGGAGAAATTTAAAACAGCGCAAAAACAGCACTATATATATTTTCTTATGTGGTCACAACGTAGAACAGGTGCTACCTATGTCTCATATTCTTTTTTTTTTTTTTTTTAAAGCAGGCTTTATGCCCAGCACAGAGCCCAACGTGGGGCTCGGACTCACAACCCTGAGATCAAGAGACCTGAGCTGAGATCGAGAGTTGGACGCTCAACCAAATGAGCCACCCAGGCGCCCCTATTTTTTATGTTCTTATTTATACGTGTATAAAAGGGCAAATACATATAGACGCAAAACTCAGAAAGTGCTTCTGGATGGGGAAGATAAAGTCACGAGGCCAGGGAAGAGAATGCAGGGGACTTACACAGCCCAGCCCCAGGGCCTTTGCATGTGCTATTCCCTCTGCCCGGCACTTTCCTCCTTCAGCCATCCTCAAGGCTCATTCACTCACCAGCTTCAGCTGTTCATTCAAATACTGCCCTCCCCGTGAAGCCTTCCCCGGTTTCTGGCCCTCCTGCCCATAACACATCCTATCCTTTCTCTGATTTATTTTTTCTCTGTAGCCCTCCCTGCTATCTAACACGCTAGATATTTCATTCATTCACTCGTTCATTCACTTAGTCTTCCTTCACCATTGGCCATTTGTTGCACACAAGGAGGGACTTTTATCTGTTTGTTCACTGCTGTGTCCCAGAGCCTGGCGCGTAACAGGTGCACAAAACATACTCATCGAATGATTATTTGCGTACGTGAGTATCTGTCGTGTTATTCTCTACCTTTTGAATATCTGAATATTCAACAACAACAACAACAACAAAGTCAGCTATTAGGATGCACAGATGGAATTCCTAGTAAGCTATGAAAAAGGTGCCCCACGCCGTAACATCTCCCTGGACCCTGTCAAAGTCCCAAGCCACGGGACCGTGGGCACGGCCAACAGAGGTCCCTCAGTGAGCACTCAGGCCCACTAGGGCTAGCCCAGGTCCTCCTAACAGACCACTCACATCCGAACGCCTCTACTGAAACAGCCCAATATTACAAAGCTCCTTTTGGGAAAAGCAACA